ACAGCTTCATATGTTGAGAATGAAGCCATTTTGTCTGGGATATCTCGTGGGTCAATCTGGGTCAGTTGTCCTGGCTGTGCTCTCCCCCAGCTCCCCCTGTACCCCCATCCCACTTGCTGGTGTGGCAGTGTGAGAAGCACAACAGACCTTGACGCTGTGCAAGCACTGCTCAGCAATAGCTAAAACACTGCTGGATTATCAACACTGTTTCCAGCACAAATACAAATACAAAATACAGATACAAAACAGGCACGCACCATGGTATAGAAATTTAACTGTATCCCTGCCAAAACCAGCGCAGGGAGAACGGCAGGACATTAGTTACCAGTTCCAGGGCTGCCTTGTTTGTCATTGGCTCTGACTTAACCAGCGCTGCAGCTCTCACCCTCAATTTTTTAGGAGTCTGCCACTTCCTAGCAGAGCAGAAAGGACGAGTGAGGAAAGAGTCCATTTATATCAACAGCCTACAGCACGGATGATGCTGGGAATGTTTTCTCTTAAAAGAATTAGTACTTATCAGTCAATTAAAGTCAAGCAAAGGCCTGCAGTGTTGCACACATGAGCTGTTTCATTCCTCAGCTAAGCTGAACTCTGGCAAGACCACAGCCCAGACCAGCAGCCTGCACCATGTCTTGTGTTTTTCCTGCTTACTGAGCAGAGAAATTGAGACAGAAAAGGCTTTAGTCCTGTTTTGAATTCAAAGAAAGAGAATTAGTGAAGGTTAGGAGAAGTGATTGCCTACAAAAGCCACAAGAGCATTCATCAGAGTGAGGCATCGTTCTTATTCTGTTCTTAATGCTCTAATGATTCATTTATGCATATAACTCTTATTTCTGAGGACTGGCCTCTCTCTCTCTTCCCATCAGAATTCAGGCTTGTTTCCAAAGAAATTATTTTTCTCTGGAAAAAAAATTGCCTCTATGTAGGATAGCAAATACTATTGAGACTTCTTTTTTAAATAAAAATGTATAAATTCTAATAATACAACTTGCCACTATTTGGAACTCCATAGCATTTGCATTTGGGGGAAATTTGTTGATAAAAACTGCATATATGTATTAAACCAAACTTATTACTGGCCAAACCATTAGTGGATTTTTAGCTTGAAGTTGCAGTTTTTGTAGAGAAACTGGACTTTGAGCTGATTTGGGATGCTTCATAGAACAAAAGTTGAGCATAGGACCCCTGTTCCTGGCTGAGGTGGTACAGAGGAGAGACCTTGGGCCTTTTCAGCTGGGAAAATGTGGCTGGGCTGCCTGCCTATTTCCCCTGGGAGAATATTAGTTTTTTAATCTCTGCCACTTGAGAGAATCTGTTACTTATAAAAGATAAGCCATTCACTCCTTAAAAATACTGTGGAAGCTTCACAGATGAACTTTCTCAGAGGAGTGCTCCCAAGTCTCTTGCTTTACTCTTTAAAGTGATCTTTACTGTGGAAGAGGAGCCATCCATAACTTTCCCTCAGTGCATTGTTAGCAAGCTCTGATTTTAGAAGTTAAGGGCTGGCATTTCCATCATTCAGCATGTGCATATTACTGCTGTAAATTTATGGCACTGATATCAACACTCTTTTTTTTCACTGATTCTTTCCTACAAAAGGCACAGGACTTCAGATAGGGATGCTGTACTTTGGGATTTCTGCCAAAGGGCGTTTTGTGAATCTGACAAGTCTTTCAGCCGCCCAAACTAGAAGAACATTGGTAATATGTTGTGGAGGCCCAAGGGTCTATGACTGTGGAGACCTGAGGGCCTATGATGAAAATCCCCATTCGCCAGTCTTGGAAAGGAGGCAACAAGCACTGCTTCCCAAGACTGGGGTTAGGGAAAGCCTCTTCCCCATAGGTCTTTGAAAATATATTTTAATATACTGTTGAGTTTTCTCTCCCATTACTTCTCCAAGTTTATATCACCTGGTTCAGCCTCTGTTCCCCTTATCTGTACTTTCCCCAGAATGTTCTCTCCTCACCTAATCCCTATAGGCCCCAGTTTTGTGCAGTGGTGTTCCACTGTTTTCCTATTGGTTCCCCTGTTTTATTACTCTGCCTCTGCAACACTTTTCCATTTTCCCATTGGCTCTTGATCCTTTGCTCCGCCCCCTCTTTCCCATATATAATTCTGTACCGTCACTTGCCACTTGTCTTTGTCCCTGGACCCCTTCAATGGGTGGATCTGGGAAGTCCCTTTGGAACTCTGTACAAACACCCTTCCTGCTTTCTTTGCTGACAAGCTCTCGGGCTGTGCGTGGACTGAGCAATGGTTCTGTGCCTGCCCAAACGCCCCCAGCTGGAGACACTTTCAGAAGGTAGCAGCAATTTACCATCCACCCACGCTGCTACAGTATTTCACTCACCCTTTCAAAAGCACTGACAATTTTTCATATTGCCCTTTCGATACTCTCAAGGATTCAGAGTGGGCTTGGAGAAATCTTATGAGAATATGTCTCATAAAAGGGCTGGATAGATAGAATAAATTTTGATGAGCATATGAAAAAGACTGAAATGAGATGAGATACAAATGGTCTTGGGCACAAGAGCACTAAATCGAGAAGAAAGTGGCAACTAGGGCTAAAGAAGAGGAGAGCAAAAGTCTTTCAGGACAGAAAAGGGAAAAACTGAGCAAAACAATATAGTTGACCCAGCAGAGAGAGAAGAGTAAAATGGAAGGGACTGAACAAAGGAATTCAGATGAGTTCTTCTCTGTGGGTGGAAATGGACAGGCTTACTGAAAATTTTGCACAGAACCTTTTATTTGGGAGAAAAAAGATAGACTGAGAATAATCAAATACATATTTCTAACAATTAGCATTTTTTTCCCCAGCTCTCCAGGTGAACTATGACTCGACCAATTTCTCCCCTAGGATAAAATGCAAAATTTAGTGGATTAATTAATTGAATTCTCTTCAGTTTCTGTATTTCTACTTTTCTCACTTATAGGCTGACTATAGGAAAGTTCTGATTTTTGAACACACTCTTTGTTCTATTACTATTTGATCTGAAAAAATAAAATGGCTTATCAGTCATCTCAAAGTCAGTGACTCTAGCTAAGCAAATATTTTGAATGTTATTGTTATAAATACAGGTTTTTCTTTAAGTAATCTGAGCTTAACTAACAAATAGATCTAAAGAGCTATGACAACCAAAATAAAACTGGAATTCTATGAATGAAGACAAATGAGAGTCACCAATGAATGCCTTCTCTTTTTTGAACTGCTCAATAGTCATTGCTTATATAGGTTGAGATATGGACAGGTAAGATAAAATGAGATCACTGTCTGCATCACCTGAGGCCTTCTGAATCAGGCCATGTTAATGGGATATTTTCACCCTAGCCTACCAGGAAACATGCCTAAAAGTAAGGTCTGGCTAATTGTGGCTCTTTTCATCTAAGCACGTAAAAACAGCACAGTGTGACACGAATAATGTGCAGCTTATTGTCAGAAGTGATGTTTTTTCTGTGTGATGTTAGTAGTCATCTAAAATAAAAATAAAAGATAATACAAAAACAAAAAAGGAAGAGAACAATTGCAAAACAGTTGGTGAATACAAATACATTCTTAGTCACCTCAGCAATAAAATAGGTTTTAACATGTTCCCAGGTCTGAAAATTGAGTGTTTTTCAAGGGGGGGTGGCAGGGACATTGACACCCAACACCCTGGATGGAAAGACTGATCTGTGTTTAGACCTGACCTCTGTAATTTAATAAGGATGTTGTGTTATAGCAGCAGTGGCAGTAGCCTGGTGGCTTTCTTCAGTGTTTTCCTAAGGAAATGTAGTTTATGAGGGCTTCCTCCTCAGAAGTTTAGGCACACCTTGAGCCAATCAACATCTTTGCTGAGGGAAATGAAGGTTCCAGTTGCAGATAGCAAAGCAGAAAAATAAAAAGCATTGATACAGTGTAAGTCAGGATCTTACCAATTTTGCATCTGATGTAACACATAAACTACACAGCTGCACCAGTTGGAAAACACCTAGTAACAAACAAATACCCACTGCTGAAAGAGTTTGATTTATTTCAAGAGTTTGGTTTCTACTGTTCTACAATTCTTCTCTTTGTTGTGAGATATAAGAAAAAAAATTTTTCATCATGACATTACATCACATTACATTGGCAAAGGTTACCCAGAGAAGTTGTGAAATGTCCCTCAATAAAAATATAAAATACTTGGATTGACAGGGCCCTAGATAACCTGATCTAAGGGCTCCAGGTGAACCTTAAAGAAGCTCTTGGAGCAACAGGCAGAGAGTATGATAGGATGTTGCCAATGAGGCTGGTCAAGGCCATTAAGGCCTTTTGGTGGCCTTGGGGTCCTGAAAGATTCTGTAATATGTGACATTCCTAATAAAAATCTACCTTTCCAACTGTGAATAACATATCGCTAAAGATGCTGTTCTTAAAATGGCTATTGGTTTTGGATTTAACTTGAAAACTAGGAAAATATTATGCAGACATGTGAACACATAAAGTTTTGGGGTTTATTTGGTTTGAGATTATGACTATATTCTCCAGCCAAGCCCTGTGCAGTAGTGCCAGTGAATCCTTTACATAGCAAAAAGGAAGACTTACCTAGATTCTGCCTTGGTTCAGCCCTCACAACTTCATGTATTTAGTCAAGATACTTAAATATAACACTTCCACCTCTGTAAGTGACAGAGAGAAAGATGCATCTCTAAAGGGGATCCCAGTCCACCCAAGCTTTGGATGTCCCAAGGTAAGTTCAGAACACATCCAGGCCATGTGTTCTGTGTGGATTTCTTCATGTTTTGTGTGTGACCCTTAGCTGTCTCTCTGTCAGGTATTAGCTTTCAAACACAGAAATTCAAGCAGTTGCTGATGTATCAATCCACTTATTTGATACATAAGGCAGGGTGGAGACCAGCTGTGTCATGTAGTCATTCTCCTGCTCTCCTGCTGATTCTTGAATTACAGGGCCACAGGTTAAACTAGTAATGCTCTTGTTATATCACTACTTACAGTAAGATTGCAACCAAGTGAGCAATCTTTTCTTGGCATTCCTTAGCATTTTATGTTTCACAAACCTTAAGGGAACATCGGGTTACTAATTTACTTCTGCGTACTTCCACAGCCATTTAACAACTTCTAAAGTGTAGTATGGAATGTAATGAATGAATATCGGCGGAGGGAAAATGTGTTTAGAATAGAATCATAGAAAAATTTGGGTTGGAAGGGCCCTTTAGAGGTCATCTAGTCCAACCTCTCTGCAATGAGCAGGGCCATTTTAGACTAGGCCAGGTTGCCCTGAGCCCTACCCAGTCTAACTTGTTTCCAGGGTCTAGTAGAGGATCAGGAGAAGATCATAGTAAAATCAGCCCAGAATGTGGCAGAAATGATCTTCAGGTAGGATAAAGCTGACCATTCTTACATTACTGCAGTCATTTTGTGTAAAGTACCTGAACGCAAGCTGGATTGACTCAGTGTCTGTTCCAGGGTCAATCTATGGTCAGGCCAAGGGCCTCGATTTAAGGCTTTTCAGCTTAAATGCAAGCTGCTTTAGAAGGTAAACATTAACTTTTGTCCCCTGTATAACAATGTTAAATTCACACAGTGTGAATGTGACTTACAATAACTCATGGTGTGATTCTTGAGGTGATCTTGTGCAAGGCCTGCAGCTGGACCTCGATGATCCTTGTGGCTCCCTTTCAGCTCATGAGATTTCATGATTCTGTGATTCTATGATGATAAAAGAGGATGCAGTGTAACTGTTACTCAGTCTGATGGAGTAAATCTTGGTCCATGTCAGCAGATGTCAAGTACAAGTATCTGGGACTGCTTTTCTGGTGACAACCTGGGTCTAAAGAAGATCAGTGTATAAAGATCAGTGCATAAGGCATCCTTGACACTTCAACTAGATCTTCATATCTAAGACTTTATAAATTTGTCTTGGGATAGCATTCTGAAACATACTATTCACAGTCAGTGTTCAGAAGTTTAGGAATAGCAAATTACTTGAAAGTGTCAATAAGTTGAAATAATATGCAATTCAAATTCTTTCTCAAGTCACTTAGCTTTCTTTTTTGTGTTTTGAAAACCCTCAAGCAACCTCTCGTATTCGTGTGGGTGTGCATCTTGTGGGCTATAACTGCACTGATTTTTCTTTGGAGTAAGCTGTTGCCTAGAAGCAGTAAAAGAGGAAGATTTGGGGTTTAAGCTTGAAGCATCTTAGCTGGAGAAGGCAGCCCACACCTTATAATTCAGGACCAAGAGGATTCCAGGCTTAATCAAGTAGAAGGAGTTGAGATAAAATGTTTTGTTAATTTTATTTCATTCCAGAAAACAACACAAGCACATGGTGCACATTTAGTAAGCCTCAAACTTAGAAAACACTTGAAAATTTTGAACTGTGCCACAGGGACCACCATAAAGCAGAAAAAAACCCCTCAGCTTTAAGTGCAGGGAGGTATGATTTCTAGCCAGCTGCTGTTGCAACCAGAGTTTGTCCCTGCATCCAGTTCTGTACTGGCTGGTCAGTGTGTTACATTTCTAACTAAGGATTTATCACAGAGGTGGCAACATGTCCCTAACCAGGCTCTGCCCAGACTCCCAAAGGTTACATGCACACAGCAAGGGGAGCTGCACTTAAAGCTCTCTCCAGAAACCCCCTAAGACAAGGGTACCTGAGGGATCTACAGTGATGTTTAGTCTAAGGGTGGTTATCTGGAAGCAGGAAGTAACTAATTCCAGTTAGCATTAAATAAAGTAATTAACGGTTTGTATTTGCATTGTAGTCATATATCATCACATCAGGAAATAAAGTATTTCCAAACAAGCAGAAGATTTCTGAACAGTTATGAAGAAAAATTTAGAACCTTTGGAATGAAGTACTTTGAGGAAACAAAATCTGAGAAACATTTGGAGTGAGTTTCACTCAACCTAAATCTTATTTATTTTCCATTTATCCTGAAATTTAAACTCAGATTTAAAAGCTACGATATTTATTCTGAATTTATCATTGCCCCGATGGTCTGGGTGTCTAAAAAAAAAAGAATTTACAAGGCCATCAGAGGTAAAAAATGACCCTATAGAGAAGGTTTTTTTCTCTCTTTTACTAGCCCAATTCTTTTTCGATTTCAAATCTCCTCTCAGACTAACCTTTGCTTGAAAAATGCTGTTCTTGTAAATCAGCACACTCTGCTGGTAAACCAAGAGAATGTGACTGACAAAAGAAAAAAACCCCAGAAATAATGCAGCCATTAAATTAAATTAAATTAAATTAAAACATAACCAGTCATATATTCTGAGAAAAGGAAACAAATCACAGTAATATGTAGCCCACAACTCTCCAACACAGCAGAGTTAATTAGTGAATACAGTTTGATTCATATCAGTATAGCAAAAAGGAGTTGGTTCATAGCCTTAACTCTTAACTCTGTATTGCAGACAGCAGCTGTTTCAGAAGGAATTATTTAGAGCACAGAATGTGCAGTGCTCCTCTGGGCCTACGTCCGGATGTCATTGTTTCATGCTTGAAAACAAAGGAGCCTGAAACACATCTTCAGATCCTGTCCTTGAATGCAAAGGGTTGGGGACAAGAGAAAACTCCTTAAATCTAGCTGTGATCACGGGGCTCTAGTTCTACTTTTGATCTCCAGTCACAAGGAAGAATCTTTTGGGAACTGATGACCATTGCTATTCTTTATGCTCTGTGTTCAACATAGATCTTGGTGCAGTGTAGTGGAGCACCAACTATTGTAAAACCCAGACAGGAAGAGTTGGATTTCCTTAATTTGCATGATGAAATTCTGGGTAAATATTTGTTATTATCATGATGCTGTTTATTTTAAAAGTAGATAATAATTACACAAAACATTATCTCTGAAATTGCTGGAGACTTCTATAAAGTCTCCTTGTGTGTCCTAATTAATTTTGCTGTTTGACCAAGAAGCCCCTGAATCCAAATTCTTTTTGATCTTATTTGCTGCTAGATATTATATACTTATATCAAAATTAGCTCTACTTTTGGAAAAGCTAATTCAGTGACATTAATCTATACTGAAAATGGCTTTGGAAGAGGCAGTAGAGGAAAAGGACAATAACTGGGAAGATGAGTTGTGTACATGTTGTAGATATTCAGAAGTTCTTATATATGCTGTTTTACATTTTGAAATTAATTTGCAATCCACTCTGCAGAGAAAACCAAGCAATTCTGTTTACTGTGGATATAATAGAACAAAGTCTCTTATTTGTAGGTGTCTGTCCTAAGTCCTAGCACAAACTCTTTCCACATACTACCTCTCCTTCCCATTTTCTCTATGCCCTTCATGACACTTCAGATTTCTCTTCTTGCTTTATTGATGAACTCAAAAAGTGTTGGTGCCCACTCCTGACTGTCCCAAGTGGTGCCTTGCTGCCTGACCAGGCAGTGCACATAAGCCTGGTGACCTCATATGGCTTTCAAAGTGTAAACAATATCTATTTTCACAAAACCTTTAGGAGCAAGATTATCCTGCTTCCACAGCTGGTTGAAAATGTCCAGCAGGTCCAAAAGTTTTCACAAAAAAAAAGAAGTACAGGACCTGATGGACACACAAATTACTAAAAGAGCATCCATATTATGCAAGTGGAAATAATGACACAAATTCAAGTTAGTAGACAAGGAATGCTTTCCTTCATTTCCATCACCAAAAGAAAGCAGTATATTTTTGATTACAATTATTCTGTTAAGATGTAAAAGAACTTTGGGCTATGAGAAGCAATTAGCCACTGATTTAAAAATGCAGTAGCTTTAATGTTGATTTCAAGTGCATGAAACAGTTTTCTAAGAAGCATCAACTTTCAATTATGTTTAGTGCACAGTCAGCCATTGCAACCATTAACATTTTCCTGCTCAATCACACTGTCTGTAACCAGCCACTAATAAGAATTAATGAGACAAATCTGCCTTGATTTAGTTTCAAGGAACCTGCAGGAGTTCTGTCTTTTGGGAGAATTTAATTTATTCACCACCTGTATCCTCAACGTGTTTTCTCAATTTTGGAAGACCAAGAAAATCTGCCAGTCTCTTTGTTCCATTGTTCCTGTTCCTTGCGTCAAACTTCGCCTTCCTCAGGGGCTTTCCTGTTAAATCCTCCTTGTGTGTGCAACATATTTCTGAGAGGCAGACCCAGCCTCTTAAATCCCATGGACTCTGCAGGTCACATATGTTGCATGTGTCCTCTGGAGTGAATAATCTTTGGCGTCTGCTGGAACTTGCCAAATGGGTTCAAGTGCTTCCAGCAGCTGCTCCAGCCAGACAGTGCGGCGACAGTGAAGAGATGCAGAGCCAGAGGTGGCTGCAGAAGTATAGGTGGAGAAGGAGGTATTCCAACAGGAAAGAAAGCAAGGTTACTTCAAAAGAGGATTCTGCTTTCGTAATCTTTCAATTAAACTACAGTTTCTTCATCAGTTTCATTCATTGTTAGTACCATTTTAGATTTTTTTGTTGTTTATGTAGTTATCTTCTTTCATCTGACACATGTCACTTTAGGAGCCAAAAATAGAATGATACAACAATATTACAGATTTCTGTACTGGTGAGAGCACCCCTGGCTTGACTATGGCAATGATTTCTGATGTAATTCAGATGTTTAGGCTTCACTGTCCTAATCGGGACCAGAAAACTGTATCATCATGTTTCTACTAAAGTGCCAAATTAAGTGCAAAGCTGTTTGTATCGTTAATGTCACAAAGTTTCTCATTAATACAAAATACTGAAACTGGAAATAATTCACTATTACCGTTCATCTTATATGCACTGTTTACAAAATGTGAATTATATTTACATTTTTTTAGCCAGAAGACATAAAATAACAAAGGAAAAATGGAAGAAGAAAATGAAGGAAGAAAAATTAGCAATCATTGAATTGGAAAAGCCATAAGAAATATTAGAAAGGAACAAAGAGATGTTACAAAAGAAGAAACCTTGTGGTATCATAGGGACCTCTCAGTTAAAACTGATCAGATCAGGAAAGCATTTTCCCAGCACCTTTGGACAGAAATTTACTTTGTATCGAATATTTTATTAGTAGGAAACAAACCATAAAGCCATTCTCTGAAATTGTGAAGGGCCAAAACTGTTTCCATCCTGCATCTCATTTTCATCTCTTGTGTTGAGGAGGGAAGATAAATCAAGAGAAGCAAAATGGAATGGACTGTTGCTATTCACACTATGCTGTATTGCAAACAAAATTTAAGAAACAAAGGTGTCACAGAGCAATCACACCAATTCTCCAGATAGCTTTTTGCAAAATTTAAATTGATAAATGGAATTCTTATTTTTAGGTTTTTGTTGCCAAGTACTGAAATACCTCAGCAGCTGAATTAAACTTCCGCAGCAAGTGAATTAAATTGCAGATTTCTTACTTTTAGAAGAAAATTGAAGGCAGCTTGAATTTTTATAATCCATATCAATTCATATGTGAAGGACTTCTCTTTCCATTACAGTAACTTCTAAGACTTTCATTTCAGATACATTCTTATCTTGAAATAATTAAAGCCTTATTGCAAAGATATTCTTCCTTGAAGTCAGTAATAATTTCCAATATGTGTAGCTTCAATGCTCGTGTGTAAATATGAGAATATAATAAAATGTACTGCATATATAGTAAAGGGCAATAGCATACATTACTATCAAATGGATGTGATTCCTTTCTGAGCACTCACCCTGAAAATGGCATCATTATAGATTATAAAATATCCAGATGATAATTTTATTGACAGCTGTGCACCCTTGATGGCTCTTCTCAAAATTGCAAATCTGATCCCATCAGTCAGGGTTCATAGGAAGCTGTGGAATTTCATTTCATACACTCTCCTCTTCCAGTACACCACTCCTCTTCACTTGCTCACCCCCTATACTGCATCTTAAATTTAATTAGCCATGAAGTCTTTTCTAAGGTAAGACTGAATCTTGCATCTGACAGGTTATGCAGCCTTGAACATAAGCCCACATTTCCTCTCTGTGTACCTAGTGAATGATTAGCACACATCAGTATGCTGTAAAGGGTCCCACACTGCCTTCTAATGCTAATATTCCTACATTATAATATGGTACTGTCTGTTTGCCTCTGGCTTTTAATTTCTTTAATAAAATGGTAATGCGTCATGTTTTAATATTGTGGTTGTATAATTGTCTCAGGATGTGACTGGCAATTTCTTGGCTATGATTTTTTCATAGCAAAATGTACATTTATTGAAAACTAAATTGTTCCTGAGAATCCTGTAACCTAAAAAAACTGGAGAAAACATCAGAACGTAATGTATTGAACCTTTTTCAAGGGAAAATTCTCATTTTCCATTTAAAAATTACTTGCTTATACAGCACAGTAGATTTATACTTAAAAAGCCACATTTTAAACCTGTTGAAACAAGTTGCTTTAATACCAATGATTTGGCCTAAGTATAGTTCTAGTTCAACTGAAAAATTTGTCTCAAAAAACATTTGTCTCATGAATATCTTCAATATTTTAATTTTCTTGTTCCGGCTGATGGATGATAAACCTCAAACACTGCTGAATGGGGAGCCCTCATTTTCAGCCACCATGTGTCCTTACACTTCAAGTCTTCTTTGGTGTGTTTAATGTCATCCTTTAACATTGCTGTGCAAAGCCTGGTGATATCTTTAGTGTGAGTGCCATGTCTGACTGTTGCCATCCTGTGCTTGGATTACAGAACACTCCTGAATTTTTATCAGCTTGACTAGATGTCCAACCACCATCCCTCCTCATCTGACTTCAGCAGAGACTGCAGAGACCACAGAGACCTATGGTCTTCCAGATGCTCTGAGTATTTGAGTATTTGCTTTTATTTGTATGCATAGCATCACTGGAAGGTGTAACTCTGACTTCTTTTCTAAGTGAACCACATGTGAACATGTGCATGTGAGCCACAAACATTAAAAGCTGTTTTTTATCCCCTGGGTTGCAAGATGGAGCTGTAGTGCGTGTTCTTCACCAGTGGTTATCATGGAGCTGGGCTGTACTGCAGAGAGGGCCCAGACACAGAATCACAGGATCACAGAACAGGCAGGCTGGAAGTGACCACAGCAGCCCAACCTCGTGGCTCAAACAGTGTCATCCCAGCACACATTGCACAGATTTTTGTCCAGATGGTTCTTGAATATCCCCAGTGAGGGAGGCTCCAGACCCTCTCTGGACAGTCTGTTGCTGTGTGGTTACAGGAAAGCAGTTCGCCCTCATATTCAGGAGGAACTTGCTGTGCATAATTTTCTGCCCTTTGCCTCTTGTCCTATTGCTTGGCACCATCAAGAAGAGCCTGGTCCATAACCTCGTGGCACCCTCCCTTCAGATACTGACAGACATGGATGAGGTCCCCTCTCAGACATCTCTTTCTGATTCTTAACACACCTTTCCTTGTGACAAAGATGCTCCAGTCCCTTAATCACCTTGGTAACTCTTTGCTGGACATGCTCCACACCTCAGACACAGCCTCACTAAGACTGAGTGGAGGGGCAGGATCACCTTCTTCATCTTGCTAATGCATCCCAGGATACCATTGGCCTTCTTTGCCACAAGGGCACTGCTGGCTCAGGGCAGCTCATGTTCCACCAGGACACCCAGGGCCTTCTCCACAGAGCTGCTTTCCAGCAGGTCAGCCCCTAGCCTGTGCTGGTGCCTTGGGTACTATATCTGGAAATTTTCAGATCAGGAAGGAGGTGAGAAGGGTAACAAAAGTACTAGTTTCAACACTGAGTAATAGGTTCTTAGGTCTGCCAGAGGAAAGTGCCCTGATTTCAGTCTAGCTCAGCAAATGCATAAAATCACATAACCCTTGCCCCATCCCCCAAACTTCACCATGTTCTCTAGCTTATTTTGCTTTTCAGAGTCTGTCTGACTCTGTGTCCTAGTAGGCAAACTGGACTGTGACTGCTCATGTTGAACATCTAGGAGTAACCCTGAAAAATACAGAGGTAGGAACTACAAGATTTTGTTACTAATTTAGGTGGATTATCAGAATCACCTAATCAGAGAATCAGAGCTGTTCCTACCCACAAGACCCACAGTCTCCAATATGAGGTACCTAAGCCTTCCCAAAGCTAGTACTTGTTCTATTATCTGCCATGTGTGTATTAAATTTAACATTTTCAGCGTGAACTTCTTAAAGTATGACCCCTCATCTCCTGTGATAAAAATCTGTGCAAAATCTGCAGAAACTTAGAAGTCTGAAATTGCTTGCTGCCTCCTCAGGGCACATATGTGAATGCTAGTTGATTTGAAGAATAAAGGACAAAATGCCATTAGGATACAGCTGACTGATTCCACAGTCAAAATCTAGTGGTTTACAATGCGCTTATGTTTCTAAATCAGTATTGCTGTCAGCAAGGAATAGCCATTTCAGCACTCAGTATAATTTAAAGCTGCTAAAGGACTTTTCTTTGATGCTGTGGTTTTACTATGCCATTTTTAGGAAGCAGTTGCATTTCTGATTGTCCTTTTTTCCCTTGATTGGGCAGGGCTATTTCTGCTGCACTTAGAAACCCTGCTATTTTTGCTGATATTTGGAGCTAATGCTTAACAATACAAAATTCACTGACAAAAATCCTGAGACCAAATCCCATTCCACCTGCAAACTCACCATCTGAAATTGCAAAACATTTTTCTATTTCTAGACTCATTGCAAGCCTATCAATTTTCTGTGGGACTGGTGTGAGAAATCCCCATCAAGTGACCCAAAGGAGAACATTAAGGAGGACTGGGCTGCAAATGGACCACCAGGAGACCCCTTTCATTGAGGAGTCTCACCAGGAGACAAGTCACCTCAAGGATGTATCATGTCTTCTCGAGCATGAGTGGCTGATTAATAATTATTTGTGAAATTAAGCCTCACCACCCTAGCTGTCAAGGCAATGCCTTCATCAGTAATAAGAGAAATTCATGGGAGCCCAAAGTTAGGCATGAAAAGATTCTTGCCTTGGTGTCCCTGTTCAGCCAGTACAGTCAATTGCTAGAAGCTCCTCAGCATATCCAGTACTCACTCAGAAACCCAAAACAGCAACAACAATCACAGTTGCCACAGTTCCTGCAGCTTGGGAAGAAGTCCCAGCGCAGGGGCACAGCCCTGGTGAATGTGGCTTCAACATGTCCCTCCCTTCAGAAATAACCAAGAGTCCCCCTGCTGATTACAGAGGCTTTTCTGGTTCTCTCGAAATTTGGAGCTTTTTTCCCTTGCAATTGAAATATTTTGCAAAGTCATCTCCTCCTCCTTAAAACGTATCCTAACAACTTCAAGGGACGTTGCTAAAGACAAAAAGCCTCAAGAAAGATGAGCATGCAAAGAAGTGCACTGACTTTGTCAAAATAGAGCAGAACATGATAGGAACAAAAAATTACTTCAGTGTGAGTGCAAGGAACTGGCTTATTTAGGGTAGAATCACCGTGAAACTCAAACTCCAAGCTGAAGGCAGGAGAATAGTGTTGGAGAAAGATTAATAAAATGAAACATGATTGCTCTAAGGCTTAGGAGGTGAATAATACATTAGCTAATTAAATATAAAATTATTCTCATTCATGAAACAAGGAAAAGCAGAAGCCACTGAATAATACTGAAAGTTAGTAAGAAAGTTCTCTGAAGCAGTTACATGGAGTTTTATGAAGGGGTCAGAGAAGGTGATAAATAACCATGGGAACATCCTTCCCATTTCACAGAAGCAATTCAGGTTTTCCTAAAACATTGTCCATCAGTGATGTTGGTGAGATGAACTAGCAACTAATCCTTGGCAAGGACAGCTGTGGTGGGGATGAGCTGGTGATCCATTAAACTGCCCAGGCAGCAGCCAGCACTGGAGCTGCAGAGAGAGGTCACCTGCTGAACACAGCCACAGGATCCACACTGAATAAAGAGCTTTCCTTCTTCTGGCACTGTGCATGGAGGCAGTTTGCTTCCTGCTCAGGAGCACTTAGTGGTTGCATGGTCAGATAAAAGCCCTTCCTGCTTTATTTGAAACACCTCATTGCTGGACCCTTACTGCCTCCTTGGTCACATCTGGTCAGCTCTCTCTGTGGCCCTCTTCCTGAACCAGACTTTCACATGATACTGTTTAAATAGAAGGCAAACATGGATGGGATGTCAGAGAGCCAAACAGTTGTATAAGCACTCACAGCAGAGGGGAAGGCAGCCTGCAGAGGGGAAAAATATCTGGAGAAGGTGGGAGGTGACTAGGGTGATCCTCTTTCCATCTGCACTTCCAAGGCATCTAGGCAACTAGTTGACTAAAATGTCTTCCCAGATGCTCCCACAGGACTGGTGCTCCACACTGTAAAACCAAGAGTCCTGCTCCCAAAGTACTGCCAGCTGGCAAAAAGATAATAATCTCCAAAGTTCCAAAGCAAAGCTGATGCTTTTTTAATATGTGAGTCAGAACAACAGGGCATTACTTGTGGTCATGATCTAATGATCATTTTTAAGCATGGCAGTGACTAGACTTTAACACCTATTTTATGAATAGCTGTGATATGAACACCTGCTCATAATACCTATTTGCTCTTCATGCTCCATAACAGTATGGATATCTGTCTTTATAGCAAACACATTGACAAAGGATCCAGCAGCTTCTAGCCCTTCTGGTTGAAATTTCCCCTATTTTCTTATACAAAAATTCTAAACTACTGATTAGGGATGATATCAATGCCATAACAGAGTGAAGAGGGCCATAGTCTTTTTTTTATTCCTGACTTCACTTTCACAAAGTAGTCCTGCAGGCAACTTTGAGTCTTAGGACACATATCTGTTATATAAAAAGTACCATTTTTTGTGTGCAACTCATCATTGCAGATGCTGACAGTACACAGCTTGACTTGCTGCTTCCTTCATCACCTGTTTTGTTGCTAGGAAACTTTTGAACAGGAGCCAATACACCATTCAGCTTGTTCCTTCATTGCAGTTGTATGGAAGAGGACCTAGGCTGATCATCACTTACAGTGCCCTCCAGTTGTGGAATTTTTTACCTGGCACTGCTAGAAGCAGGGGATGTGTGCTATACAGTAACATTGGTTATGTGTATGAACAGATGTCCCAAAGTGGAAGAAGAAGAAAGGCAGGATTCACATCCAGTTTGGATTTTTTCGCAGCGATCTCATTTATCTGGAGAGTGAAAATTCATCTGCATTGTTGTTGGCCTCTTCATTTGGGCAGCACTATACATTTTATTTTTCCATTATTTGGGCTACAGTTTGAGGTGTGGCTCCAGCCAGAATGACCCCTCCAGAGTGTGACAGTGCCCCTGCTTTGAAGAGTTTATAGCCTGACACTGTGTTGTCTTTTATTGGAAAATTATGCCTTTCTCCCCTGTTACCCCCCTGCTGAACAGAACTTGTCTGGTGGTTAGGGAATACAAAAATGCTACTGAGGCTGTCACACACTCTGTAGACTAGAGCACTCTGAATACTAACCCTCAGCTGTAGTGTAATTTCCCATTGTATTGCATTGCTCCTGTGCTTTCCAGCCTGAGTCACCTAAGCTGCTGAAGAGCCAGACACCCAAGACTCATGAGGGGGTAACAATTAGAAAGACCTGTTCCCCTGTTCCTGATTCTGGTCACTGAGAAAGGCAATAGCTTTATTGGAGAATTCACACAAACTCACAGTTAAAACTATCTGTACCTTTCTGTACCTCGAATATTGTCAGAGATTTTGTTTCATTCCTTCACATTTTCTGTGAAGCTAAATTAAATACTCAGTATATAACTTGTGTTGAGAAACAACTTTCAAAAAAAGCTTTCAAAAAAAGACAGATTTTCCCCCCCAGGGTCACATATGGAGTCATGGCCC